CTCCCAGCATGGAAGAGTTGGCCAGTAGTTGCGGGGCCAGGCCTGGGGATCCCCCACCAGCCAGCACCAGGAGTTCTTCCTCCCGAGACAGGTTCAGTGTCTGCACCTAAAGAAATCAGACCCAGACCCACCAGGGCAAGTCAACCAGGGTGGGTGACCCCCTAAATCCCCCACCCCTTGCCTTCCTTTCCCCTGTATGTGGCAGTCCAAACACCATGGTGACATTGGCCAAGTTATAGAACTCCAGTCTTTGTGATCATCAGAAAACAGGTTCTCTGGTTAGGAAACAGGTTCTCTGGCTCCCAGGTCAAACCTATGCACACCCCAGGACCCAGAGAAAAGGGCTTGAAGGTTTCACAATAATATGCTTAAGTCCACTCACCTGGATTTCAATGCCATAGCCAGGGTAGACATGGATGCTATATGTGCAGTCCAGGAGTCCCAAGGTACGGCTAGCGCTGCTCCCTAAATCTGGAGACTCCACATGCCCTTCACCCTCGGAGATGTTGTTATTACACAGAACTAAAGAGATATAAGTAGCTGGGCTTGAGTAAATCCCTGTGCTCTTGCCCTCCCAGCCAAGCATCCCTGGGGGGGGGGGGTTTCCTTATCTATCTTCTCCTCAGCACCCCTCACCATCTGTATCCAATCTCCCTCTCCCATGCGTGCCCAGAACTGTAACATGGATAAAACACATAGAAAGGTACATAGTAAGGGTATATAAATGCTAGCCTTTACTATTAGCAGAAGCCCCTCTCGCATCTGTACCCAGACCCCATCTTTCACACCTTCCCCTAAGCCTCTCCCCCACCCATAACCTCCTCCTCTCCCACATCCGTGCTCTTGGACACAACAAACACTATCCCCTTTCAATCGCCTCACCTGGGTTGGTCACCGTGGTGGTGACAGTTGTCGTGGTGATGATGGTGGTCGTGGTCTCCTCTTCTCCCTCAGGCCCTAGGGGCAGGCCTGGGGAGGCAGGGCCGGGAAGGGGCGGGGCCGTAGTTCCTGGGGGCGGGGTCAGCAGCTCTGGCGCGGTGGGGCCTGCCCCCCTACCCGCCTTAGGGGTTACCGCTGTTGTCAAAGGCCCTGTCCCTGGCTCAGTGGCCCGTGGCAGGGAGGGCGCTGCAAGAGTCTGGCCGGCTGGAGGGGTGGCTAGTGTGGGGTCTGGATCAGATCCTGGGACAGTGCAAGGGAAGTCAGGGCACAGAAGGAGCAAATTGGTGGGCCTTGGGTAGGGAGCAGGACTGAGGGAAACTGGGGGTTCCCCACTGAACCCAAAGGCCTCCCCCACAAGATGCAGGCCCCCCACCTTAACCTTCCCCACCCAAACTCCCGATCTCCTCCCAAGGCTTCCACAACCTGACACCTTCCCCCTACTTCTCTTCCCCTCTCCACCGCTGGGCCAGGCCCTTTCCACTCTGACAATCTCCTTGAGCCTCTCTCTCTGCCTCTCCATTCAGTTATGGCTCCTCTCCTGGTTTCCTTTCCTTCTCCTCCGTCTTGCTCTCTTTTGCTCTCTCTGGAACTCTTTATTTCTCTGATTAGTATTCTTATCACTCTCTGATTTTATGATTCTAGATCTACTAGTCTCTGTATTTCTCTCTCTTTCTCTCTCTTTTTGTTTCTCTCTCCCACTATTTTTCTGATTCTGGTTCTCTGAGTTTCCAACGGTCTTTCTCTTTGATTGTGTTTTTCTGTTTGACTCTGTCTCTTGGTAATCCTGTCTCTATTTTTCTGTCTATGCTCAGTTTTGACTCTAATCATCTCTCTCTGTCTCCCTCTGAATTTCACTGGCCTGGCTCTGCATCTTCCTGAGTTAATGTCTTTCCATATGCCTCTGTGTCACTCCTGCCACTCTGGGAGCCTCACCCGGCAGGTAGCCCATCTCTGGGCCCCTCCTCAGCAGGGCCCCATGGAGCAGCTCAGCCAAGGCCTCCGAGGTTACCCTGGGGGTCTCACTTCCAGGTTCTGGCAGTGCCTCCTCCTCCTTCAGGGGTAGACCTAAGAGATGAAGTCGTATGAGCCCTCCCACTGCCCCATACTCCTAGCTTCTCCAGAAAGATCTTTGCCAGAGCCCTTTCTCCCTCCTCAGTCAGCTGGGCCTGCAGGAGCTCAGAGAGTCCCAGAGAGCCAAAGCCAGAGAGCCAAAATGAGAAAAGGGACTCCCGGCTGCCCCTCATGATCCCCCACCTTTCTCTCTCCCTTTTCCCCCAGGCTGTGTGGGCCTTCAGTGAGCCCTTTGGCTCTAATGAAGCTTGGACAGCACCAGCAGGGTGGAAAAGGGGGCAATGGTGCTGCCTTCATTTTTAGCCTCGGTGATGCTTTCCCCACAACTCTGCGGAGGGTCTGACAGCAATCCTAGCTCTTGCTTCCGCAGTGCTCAGCTTTCTCTCTGGATTTGTCTCTGCAGTGTGGTGTCCTCTCTCTCTCTCTCTCTCTCTCTCTCTCTCTCTCTCTCTCTCTCTCTGCAGTCTCTCTCTGGAGTCTGGCTGGGGGTCAGAGTGGAGGACTGAATATCTGGTCTCTGAGCAGTGTCTCTGTTCATCTGTCTTTGTCCATACCTCTAAGAACATTTGTGTGTACAGTGCCTGGCGTCTCTCCCAGCACTCCATCTCTTACCCAGGTACTCTGCATGTTTCTGCCGCCTCCACAGACATCTCCCCAACTTCCCCAGCCCTCCTTCCTGGATTTAACCCCCAAGACCCTGCTAAAAACTCCCCTCACTAATTTCCCCGCTTCCACTATATTGGGGGTCAGGGGCTCCAGGTACAAGCTAGAAAGCCCTGGCTTGCCTCTTCTCCATCAGCCATGCCCCTCTGCTCCCGAAGGAGTTCGGAAGGCACAGGATATTCAGAGAAAAGAGGGTAAATGACCCCGCTGGGGGCCTTTGCAGGGCCCACCCCCACGCTCCCATGTCCTTACCCTGAATCCAGGGGCAGCTCAGCAGAATTAGGAACAGCAGCTGGGGAGGCGGCGGGTGCTGGGCCTTGGGAGTCCCCATGGCGACTCACACCGATTTCTCTTCTCTGTGTCTCTCTTAAATAATCTAGCTGTCACCTTTCCTCGGTCTCCTTCTATCTTTACCTTTATTTATTTATTTTTTCCTGCTAGCAGTAAGCAAGAAAGACAATTTCTCCACCCCTTGGGATGGAGGAGCAGAACTGGGCTGGGGTTCGCCTGGAGCCCACCCCTCTTTGCCCAGTCTCCTCTGTTCTCTGCTCCGGGGTCTGTGGGAGAGGGGGCGCGGCTCTGGCTACAGGGGGTGGAGCCAAGAGGGCCGAAGGGGCCGGGTCGCCTGGGTTACCCTCTTGCTCCGGCGCCTGGGTCCACCAGGCTGGCTGGAACCCAAGCTGGAATCCAGCTAGGGAAAGGCAAGACAGCTTCCTTGGGTGGGGTCGAGGATCGGGAAGATCCCTACTGGGCCCTAGCGGGGCTTGGAGGGGAGGGGAAGGAGTTGCGGAACCTAGAGAGCCGAAGCTCGGGCACTGGAGCTGCGAGAGGGAGAAGCTGAGAAAGGTGTCGAGCCCACGTCAGATCCTGGGGACGGGCGAAGGGAGGGGCCTGCGAATTATTTGGGGGCCGGGGGAGGTGGGGTGGCGGGCAGGAGGAGGAGGAAGTACAGATGGAGGAAGGAGGAACAATGTGAGCCAGGACCGTAATCCTCACTCCCGCGGCCCCTAGGGGAGGCAAAGGAAACTCTCTGGTCCCAGCTATAATTACGCGCACCTCTCCTCGCCATTCCAGCAACATCTGGAATCTGAATCTCCTCTTCCCAAGATGCGGAGAGGAAGCGCAATTGGGTTCTCACCTGCTCGGCCCCCCAAAATGCCCCTGCCCACATCCATACGTCCCATGGGACTTCCCCTTCCTTTTTACAAAAGCTCGTGTGTAATGAGCTTTCACCTCCTCTAGGATAATGGCAAGTTTCTACGTTTATGAGAAGCCAAGGTGGTGACGGGCTGGGATATATAGAGAGGAGACCACTCTTCTGACATACAGTATGAGCCCGTCCAGTTGCCAGGGGGTTTCAACTTTGGCGTATTTTTGTTTTTTGTTTTTTTTTTGTTGTCGTTGTTGTTTTTTAATCCTGGCCTCTTTCACAACGCCTCTGAAGCACCCTTTTCAGCACCAGCGCGCGGACAGCTCTTCACGGCCCAGCCCGAGTGGGCTCCGCCCCCTGCGCCGGGGGCTATTGGCTAAAGCTGCTTTCACCATCAATCAGGCTCCCGCCTGGGGCCGGCTCCTGTGAAAACGAAGGGGAAGGAGGAGTCACAGGCCGGTCCGTGGATCTGCAGACCCACGGACAGGCCGCGGCGTCCCTGTCCGCAGTCCGCGCGTCCGCCCCGCCCCTTGGTTCGCCCCGCCCCAGGTCCTGCCCCTTCTTTTCGCATTGCAGGGAGACAGGCTGGAGGTTGGCACCTTGCCCCTTGCGCTTCACGTGGCGCCCCTTGGGGTCCCGGGAGAAGGAAATCCAGAGACCACCCCCACCTCAACCCACCCTGAGTTGCCGCTGCCACTGGGCGGGGGCGGGGGTAGCTAAGCTGAGAGGACTGCTATGGGGAGGGGTGACGTCAGGGTGTGTGGGAGCCACGGAAGTAGCGAGTAGGGGGAGAGAGAGCGAGAAAGAGCGAGAAAGAGCGAGAAAGAGCGAGAGAGGGGGGTGGGGAGAGAAAGGGAGATTGAACCCGCTGGTTGAGTCGAATGAGAAGCGAGGGCAGGGAGGAGAGAGAGAGGAAGAAAGGAGAAAGAGAAGCTGCTGCGGAGGACGACTGATTGCGGGTTCTTGGGGCTGCGGGTCCAAGTGGGGTAGGATCTGTTGTCCGGAGAAGCTAGAAGGAAAGCGGGGGAGAGGAGAGAAGAAAGAAAGGGGGAGACAAGGGTGGAGAAAGAAGAGGCAGAGGGTGAGAGAGGAAACTGCCGGAAGGAGAAAGAAGAAAGAAGGGGAGAGGTGAAAGAGGAAGGGGAGAGAGTTGGAAGGAGAAAGAAGAGATAGGAGAGAGGAGAGAGAGGTAGAAGGAAAGAAAGGGAAATGAGGGTTAAAGGTTTATGAAGGAAGAGAGAAAGAGGGAGATACAAGGCGGAAAGAAGTCCTCAGAAGGAGAGAGAACCAGGAGTGAGCATGTGGAAGGGAAACAGCCCAGGGGGTAACCAGGGAGCAGCCATGGAGGAAACTAGTGGAGAACTGGTGGGACAGAGGAACTGGGGTCTAGAAGATGCCTCAGGCCTCTTGGCAATGGCCTCCCTGCCCATCATGCCAGCATGGCCATTGCCCCTGGTCTCCTCAGCCTTAACTCTGCTCCTCGGAGCCTTCACTTCCCTTTTCCTCTGGTACTGCTATCGCTTGGGCTCCCAAGATATGCAAGCTCTGGCTGGGAGTCAGGCTGGGAGTGTCAGTGGTGGGCCTGGGGTTTGTTACGAGGCTGGCAGGCCAAGCCCAGGGAGTTCTGGGGAACCTGGGAAGAGACCCAGAACAGAAGGCCTAGTGAGCCGTCGCCTCCGGGCCTATGCCAGACGCTACTCCTGGGCAGGGATGGGCAGGGTGAGGCGGGCAGCTCAGGGTGGCCCAGGCTCTGGGGGAGGGCCAGGGGTCCTGGGCATTCAGCGCCCAGGCCTGCTTTTCCTGCCAGACCTGCCCTCAGCCCCTTTTGTGCCACGGGATGCCCAGCGACACGACGTGGAGCTCTTGGAGAGCAGCTTCCCTGCTATTCTGCGGGACTTTGGGGCTGTGAGCTGGGACTTCTCAGGGACTACCCCTCTGCCTCAGGGCTGGTCCCCACCACTGGCCCCTGGGTGCTACCAGCTCCTGCTGTACCAAGCTGGCCGGTGCCAACCCAACAACTGCCGCCGGTGCCCTGGGGCATATCGGGCACTGAGGGGGCTTAGGAGCTTCATGAGTGCCAACACCTTCGGCAATGCTGGCTTTTCTGTCCTCCTGCCTGGGGCCCGGCTTGAGGGCTGCTGTGGGCCCACCAATGCTCGGGTCAGATGCCATCTGGGTAAGTAGATGACAACCTCCTTGCCTCTCTTCTTCTCTGCCATCAGAGCATTCTAAACTGTGGTTCTGATCATGCCTCTCTTCAGAAATCTTTCACAACCTGTTGCCCACAGCAGAACTTCCTGAGCTCCTATTATCTACAAACCGTCTTCATAAGCTTCATAAGCTTTGCCATAGTCATTTACCACCTGTACTGTTTTTTCATATGGACACCTCCACATTTTGTTTCACTTATTTAAAAGGAATCTTTATAGAATGATAATCAATATTACTTGCCCTAAATAGAAAGTACTCATAAAAACAAATTTAAACTTAAAAAAAAAAAAAGCTTAAAAAATTCTAGCTAAGTAGTCTCTCTAAGACTGAAGCCTACGCTTTTGTTTAGAAGGGAGCAATGTTAGAGGGAGTATTAATGTCATGATGGCACCAAACTGAGATTTTCTTTTTGATGTTTTAAAGATTGCAAGAAAATGGAAAAGAATTTTTTCCGTTATTTAATGCCATGACCTTGTTTTGCCTAAATTCATCTCCTATGCTATCAGATGTATGTGTCCTCCTCTTTAAAGCACACTGGCCTCAGGATCAAGTCCAGATCCTTTCTCTCCTCATCTCCCATCTCTTCCCTTCCACCCTTCCCTCCCACGGTGCTCTAAATCATGAAGGACTTCTGGCTAATCCTGGCAGACACCACATTCACACTATACTCTTAACCAAAAAATGTCTTTCCCTTTTATCATATTATCACCTCCTGGAAAACTACTTAGCCTTCAGGACTCATAGTTTGAAGTGGGATGTTTTCTTATTCTCCTATTATTTGAAGTGGCTGCTCAGTTTTCTCACAGTAGTTGACTGTGTGGTCCTTGGGCCAGGAGTCATTAGTTCTATACCTCGTAGGGAGGGAGAGCCCAGCACATAATAAGTTCTTGAGTTAAATTGGACAAAGCCCAGGAAGAGATGCCACTTCCTCTAGGGAGCTTTCGCTTTTCTCTGAAACAGAACAGATTGCACTGCATTTCCCCTATCTCCTATCACTTCTTTCATTCAGTACTGTATTATTATATTCAGGTCACCTTCCAGAGAGCAAGGAGGGACCACCATTGAACCTGGTGTTTAAGATGCTCGGTTTACCCTTTGACGGAGGCATTAGTGTTGGATGCCTTGGTTTCTTTCCACAGGCCTGAAGATCCCCCCTGGCTGTGAGCTGGTGGTTGGGGGTGAGCCCCAGTGCTGGGCTGAGGGACACTGTCTACTGGTGGATGACTCCTTCCTGCATACAGAGGCTCATAATGGTAATGAGGTTCCCATTCTTCTAGGATGGATGAGGGACTAAGAGTGAGGGGAACAGAATCAGGCCCAATTACCCCACCATTTTCCGGCTGCATGACTTTGAACAACTCATATAATTTTTCCAATCACCTGTGAAATGGGGCAACTGCCTTCTTGATCAGATGACTGAAGGATTAAATTAATGTAGGTACATAGCGACGTGGTTAACAGCAAAAGACCCTGGGCCAAGACCACTTGGGTTCCTCTCCTACATCTGGCATTTACTATGTGACCTTGGGCAACTTATTTAACCTCCTTGTGCCTCAGTTACTTTGTATAAAATAGGAATAATTATGGTGCTACCTCTCATAGTTTGTTTTGATGACTAAGAGTTAATGTATATAAGTGGTTAGAACAGTGCCTGGCACGTATATACAAAATGTTTACTCTTATGAGTATTTGGTAAGTACTCTGGCATATAAGTACTTAATGTCAGCTACTCTCCTGTCTCCATCCCATGTACCCTAGGCTCCCCTGAAGATGGGCCTCGAGTAGTCTTCATCGTGGACCTTTGGCATCCCAATGTGGCTGGAGCCGAGCGCCAAGCCCTTGACTTTGTCTTCACACCAGAATCTTAAAAGAAGATGTTCCCTTCAAGACATCTGGGCTGGAAAGATGCTACACTCAAGGATGGCTTGAGTGGTAGCTAGGACCTCTTCTCCATTGCAGAGTGGGGCAAGGCTGAGGGTGGGAACTGGCTAATGAATATTGAAATACAGATCTTAAATCTTCTCCTAATTCCTGACTACTTTCATCCCGGCTACCAGCCCCAGAAAAAGGCTTGGGGCAGGGCTGCATGTCTTTTCTCATCCAGCCACCTAAGTATCTCCTTAACACAGCCATCTCCCTGGCCCTCTCTCTGGGAGTCAGCACCAGATTCTCAACTCAACTTTATTCCAATAATTTAATAGAAAATTAAAATAATAAATAATACGAAACAGTAGCTGAGCTGGTACAGGCCCAGGCCAACGTAATACAAAGTTAAGGAGGTAGGGAGAATGGTGGGAGAAGGAAGAGGGAAGCAAACTACCATGCACAATGATTGGGAGGCAGCTCAGAACGTGATGGGTGTTATAAGGGCTGGCTTAACACTTTGGCATGTACAATGTACTAAAAAAAGAGAAAGGGAATTCTAAATAATTTTAAATCAGCTGATGAGGGAAGATAGCAGGGCAAGGATGGAGATGAGGGAACAAAAGTAGGCCTTCTGACGGGCTCTTAGGGAAAGGGCTGGAATGTACCGTGTTGTTAGCAATGAATTGGGAATGAATGGAAAAGGGCCAAAGTGAACTGTACCATGCAATGAAGGGACAGAAGGGAGACCCACGACTTAGCCAGCAAAGCCGAGGCAAAGATCTGGGAAGGGGAGGAAAAGAGAGAGGGACTGAGTCCTAGTGGCAGGAGGAAAACAGGGAGCAAGATCAAGGATCAGTCCTTGAAGACAATCTGTTGGCCATGAGGACGCTCGTCATGGGTGATGTGGCGCCGGACATGAATCCTGCGGACACGGTGCTCTCGGTTTTCCTCATCCTCCCCTCGGCTTGCCCTGCCACTTCCAGCTGCACCCCCTGTGGCCTCCAGGAGGGCTGGGTCTGGGACCCGGGGAGTCTCGTAGATCAGGATGTTCAGGGTTTCCTCAAAGATCCGGGCCTCTGGGAATTCCACCTGCAAAAGGCCAGCAATCCCCAGTTCCCACCTTCTGGTCCAGTCACAGAGCTACCCCTTCCTCCAGCTGCTCTGCACTGGCACACCTCCTAGCCTTTGCAAACACAGGTTCTTTAGCCTGGACTGTCCTCTTTGCAACTTCTTTACTCAGCAAAGTCACACTAATACATTGAGGTCCAGCTCTGAAGTCAGGCAGCTATATGTTTTCTCTTCTTTGCTATCAAGTCTCAGTGTGTTCTTTCATTAGACAAATATTTACTGAGTGGCTGCACTGTACCAAGTGTTGTTCTAGGCAATGGGAATATAGCAGTGAACAAAACAGACAAAGTTCCTATCTACAGGAAGTTTACATTCTAGGTGGAGGACACAGACATACATTTAATTAAATATAAACTGTCAGATGGTGACAAATGTTATGAAAAAAAATATAGCAGGAAAAGGGGTAGAGATGGCTATGGCCAGGAATGTTATAACTTTAAAGGGGGAGTTCAGAGAAGGCTTCACTGCAGAGGATATTTGACAAACAGCCAAAGGAGGGGAGGGAGGGAGCCAGGCGGATAACTAGAGAAGGAGCAGTCTGGGAAGAGGCAATAGCAAGTGTAAAAGCTTTGGGGTAGGTGTGCGCGTAATATATTATTTGACAGCAGCAGCAAGGAGGCCAGTTCAATGAGACAGAATGATGAGTAGAAAGGATAAAGTGAAGAGTTGATTGGGCGTTTTCCTTGTGTGGCTTGGAGGAATATAACTAACATAACTCTTAACAAGCTGCATTGTAATTATTGGTTTATTTTCCTATCTTCCCAACTAGAGAGGAAGCTTCTTAGAAGCTGGGTCATTCATTCATTCATGCATTCAATAAATGTTTCCTAGCTTCCACTACGTGATAAACTCTTCTACTATCCTCCACAAGTGCTAGAGAGGGAGAAAAAATACAGCCTACCCCCAAGGAACTAACACCTTGCTGCAGAAGTAACCCCGCTCCCCACTCTCCATCCCCAGACTACAATAAATACCATGTTTAGCTAAGAAGGAAGTTTGACATCTTTGTCTGGGGTTGTTCAGTTTAAAGTTCATAAGCAAAAATCCCAAAAGAAGTGATGCCTGGCTTGGGTCTTAAAGATTAAGCATAAGTTCACTGGGCAGACAGGGATGAGGAAAAATAATCCCAAGAAAAAGGAAGAATGTGTGCAAAGGTAGGGAAGTGTGAAATAGCATTGGGTACTTGAGACTTGCAAGATCTCTGGTGTATCTGAGGCACATTCCTCATATCAAGGTCAGAAGAGCCCAGGCTGATAACATCGTCAGGAACCAGATGACATATCATGACTTACACAGCTAAGACCCCAAAACTTGGAACTCTGGTTCCTGACTCTCAGTGATGGACTTTCCCCTGCCCGATCTGCTGAGCTGCCTTTGTCCAGGGAGGGTCCTGGTCCTGCCCACCACCACAGCCCTTCCTGACCAGGCCCTGAACCCCTTCTGACCTTGGTCTGCTTCTTCTCCGTGGCATAGACAATGGAGGTGCAGCACACCTCAGCGATTTTGCGGCCCTGCCCGTAGAAAGACCAGCAGCAGATCTCGTCCCCCAGTACATCCTTGAGGAAGAGCAGCCGCCCGTGGAAGCGCAGCGCCAGTTTGTCAAACAGCTCGATGTTCTTAAGTAGGTTGTCATCCGAAGTGCTGAGGACCAGGGGGCCAGGTGGCCTCAGCACAACTGGCTTCCCTCCTTCTGTTCCAGCCCCCTCCCCTCCTCCCCCCACCTGCATAGGTCCAACCCAGGGGTTTGGCGCCCAGCAGGGAGCTTCCTCAATCCCTGGGGCTAGGCTAAGGAGGCCTCAGAAAGGAAGTAGCATTTGCTGAGCAAATCCCAGTACAGCAGAGTAGCTACTTGTGCAGTCTCTGGCTTCACCTGGCATCCTAGCTCCACCACTTTTTAACTGGGTGACCTATGCAAGTTACTTCACCTCTTGATGCTTCAATTTCCTCATCAGTAAAATGGAGATCACAATAGTACCTCCTTCAAACGATTGTGAGGATTATGTGAGTCAATAAATGTAAAGCACTTAGACAATACCTGTTGTAAAATAAGCACTTAGTAAACACTAGTCATTATCTATTCCTCGCCTAACCCATTATTTATTGATAAAACTGAACCTCAGAAGTGAAAAATGACCTGTCCAAAGTACCCAGTGGGTAAGCGGTGGAACTGGAGTTTGCATTCAGTCAGGCACACTTTTAGTTCCTCTGTGTGGCCATCGCCCCACCCCCCACCCCTCCTCCTTCCCAGGGCCGGGAGTAGGGCTACCTTTAGCCCAGGATTCCACCCAGTGCACCTCCCTGCTCCCCTGGTGGTCACCTGGTATAGGAGTACTTGTTGTTACTGCGGTTGTGGAGGAGCTTCACCACGGGCTGTTGGGGGAGAGAGGATGGAGAATGGTGGGGGTCAGGCTGCATGGAGAGGCCCCCAACCTCCACCCTACAGGGCTCAGGGGCCTCACCTTGGAGGTGCTGGCCAGGAGCTGCTGCTCCTCCCGGGGAGATGTCACCGTGGGGATGAGGCACAGCGGGGACAGGTTCTCCCTTTTTTGCTGGAGAAGAAGCGGAAGGTGGTTAACAGTACAAGCAAAGATCACTCACTCCCTCACTTAAAAGTTTTCAAAAGCTGCTTGCTGCCTTTGGGACAAAATCCAGACTTAGTGGTCCATAAGGCTCTGCAGAATTCGACATCTCTGATCTCATCTCTACCACTCTCCCCTGCCTGCTGGGCTTCAACCCTACCAATGGCCTGTTGCTTGGCACATCCAGCATATATCCACCTAGCCCTTTGCTGTTCCCACTGCTGGAAACAGTCTGCACTCAATTGTTTGCATGCCTGGCTCTTTCATCCCCTTCAGATCTCAAAAATAGTGCTCCTCAGAGGGTGCTAGTTCTCCTCCCTCAGCTCCCTGGCTAAAGCAGCCTCCTCTACTTCCTATTCACAGTATCAGTTCACTTTCTTTGAGGCACTTAGTTCCTCACATTTTCTTATATTTGGTATATTTGCTCATGGTCTGTCTCTTCCCACCTGGGAACTAAGTGCCTAGTATACAGTAGTTGCTGTTGACTAGTTCTACTGACTGAACAGCCTGGCTGGCTGGAGAGCTGGAGGCAGAATCAGAACCAGACACAGGCTTTTTTCTTCTTTTAGAAACGTCATGTCAGAACCCCTCTCACCTCTCCCAGTCTAAAAACTAGATGTGCAATTCTAATACAGACTCCAGATTTTTTTTTTGAGAAATGAATAGGACTTTTGTAAAATTAATATGGAAGAATAAAAGTCTATTATTACTTAGGTCAATTTTTTAAAAAAGCCAAAAGAGACTGACCACGCCAGATATTAAAATAACCAAAAAGCCATAATGAAAACAGTGTGGTTTTGGTACAGAAACAAAAACAGTGGAATATAATAGAACTTGGAAACAGACTAATGTACACATGAGAACTGATGTTTATAAAAAGGACATCACAAATCAGTGGGAAAAGTATGGAGCATGTATTGGTTATTGCTGTGTAACAAATTATCCCAAAACTTAGCTTAAATCAACAATAAATATTTATTATATCTGTTTCTGTGGGTCAGGAATTCAGGAGTGGCTTAGCTGGGCGGTTCGGGCACGGGGTCTCTCGTGAGCTTGTGGTCAAGTCAGCTGGAGCTGCAGTAATCTGAAGGCATGAATGAGTCTGGAGGATGTGCTTCTGAGAAAGCTTATTCATATGGCTGGTAAGCTGATGCTGGCTGTTGGCAGGAAACATGATCCCTGTTACTGGGACCTCTCCATAGGTTGCTTGAGTGTCCTCATAACATGGCAGCTGGCTTCTCCAAAGCAAATAATTCAAGAGGGAGCAAGATGGAGCTAGTTTTGTCAGCCCTATTCAGTGTGGGAGGAACTATGCAAGCGAATGAGTATTAGGGAATAACAATTACTGGGGACTGCCTTGAAGGCTGGCTCCCATTGATTCAAATTCCTCTCATACGCAAAATATATTCATCCCCTGCCAGATCTCCCAAAGTCTCATCCCATGACAGCATCAGCTTGAAGTACAGAATCTTGTCATCTACAGCAGGTCCAGGTGGGGATGAGGCTCCTTGGGAGTAGTTCCTTAACTATAGCTTCATAAGTACATTTGCTCTTGATCTGAAGACCTGTGAACTAAAGAGACAAGTTATCTCTTCCATACACCCAATATACAATGGTGGAACAGGCATTAGGATAATCACTAGGGCACTCTTTTTCAAAAGGGTGGGGTAGGGGACAGAAGGCACATAGAAGTCACTGCTTCATAGAAATTCTGTAGTCCAGTTAGACAAAGGTTGGAAGCTCTCAGATGCCTACTCTTGCCCCAAAATGACTCTCTATGGCTCTTGGCTCAGGGTGCCCTGAGTCATCCTTTCTTTTCCATGAAAGACAGTCCATGCTTGCAGCTCCATGGTTTCCTTAGCCTGCTTCCTCCCTGTAGAACTTTGGGGGTCCAAAGGCCTCTTCTCCTCTTGCATTGTATCTGTCCCTTTCAGTCCAAGCTGGCAGTGTTTCTGCTAATGGAATTCCTAAAAACTTAATGGGTGTCTTGTGAGTCTTGGGGTTCAGTTCATTAGACAAAATCCACACCCAAAAAGCTTTTCTCTTGCTTTGGGCTTGTGCTGAGACTGCTGAGGGACAACACCCTTAGGATTCTTAGATGCACTATTATTTGATTGAATGGTTCTCTGAGACATCTTCTTGGATATTTTTGAGGTCTGAAGGATTTTATAATCACACCCAAAGCTTCATTGTAGACCATGTTTTACTAACAATGCCCTGTATTTGAGCTTTACCTAGAAGCTGTTTGTTCATTTTAACCTCATTTGTTATCTGGAAAGGCTGGGAATTTTCAAACCCAATAATTCCTGGCTCCTTTTCGTGCAACTGTTTTTCCTTTAGCTTCCCATCTCCTCTTTTATTTTACTATAAGCACCAAGAAACCTGGTATCACCTTCAATATTTTGTCTGGAAATCTCTTTAGCTAAGCCACCCAGTTCATTAGGTATGTTTTCCACTTTCTACATTACTATAAGAGACAGTGTTGCTACACGTCTGCAACTGCATAACAAGGATCCCCTCTGCACCTGTTTCCAGTATATTCCTCACTGCAGCCTCCTCGAAGGTCATTAGACTCCTATGTACAGACTCTTTAAGGCCCTTTAGGCCTTTATGAACACTCTCCTCAGTCCTTCCAGCTTCTGCCCACTTCCTAGTTCTAAAGCCACTCCCACATTTGAAGTTTTTGTTGTGGTAGAACCCCATTCCAGATACCAAACTCTGTTATCTATTGCTAGGTAACAAATTACTGCAAATTTAGCACCTTAAAACAATAAACATTTATTATCTCCCAGTATCTGGGGGTCAGGAACTTGAGATTGGCTTAGCTAGATGGTCCTGGCCCAGGGTCTCTCATGAAGTTGCAGTCCAGATGCTGGCCAGGGCTGTAGTTATCTGAAGACCTGAGTGGGCCTCAAGGATCTGCTACTGAAATAGTTCACCCATGTGGCTGAGAGTTGTGGTGGCTATTGGCAGGAAGCTTCAGTTCCTTACCAAATGGACCTCTCCCTAGGGCTGCTTGAGTATCCTCATATGGCAGCTGGCTTCCCCCAGAGTGAGTAATCCAAGAGAGAGGCAGAAACAGCAATGTCTTTTATGACATAGCTTTAAGTTACACACTATCATTTCTGCAATATCCTACTGGTTACATAAGTCAGCCCTATACAGTATAGGACAGGACTAAACAAGAGCCAGAATAAGCTGAATTGCTGGTGGCCATCTTGGACACTAGCTACCATAGATTAATAGATGCCATTGGGAAAACTAGTTCACTCTATGGAGGACAAAAAAAAAGAGTTAAGTCCCTTCATAATTCACATTTACAATAGTGAATTCCATTTAGATTAAAAGACCTATGTATGAAAGATAAAACTATAAAGCTAATAGAAAATATAACTAGGAAAAAGAAGCTTCTTAAACAAAATCCTAAAAAGATATACCATTAGGCAAAAAAAGAAAAAAAAAGAAAGAAGAATTTGACTGCATGAAAATCAAGAATTTCTCCAGTTGACAATGGGAAGTAAGACCTTACAAAATGCCTACGTAATAATGTTGAGGGAATGACAGAATTGTGATTATTCTACAATATAACATAATAGAAAAATACCTAAAATTACCTAAAATGTATTCTAACCAAAATGTTTAATATTAATCCTTTAAATCTACCATCTAGTTTATAGGAAACTCAGGGTAGGGTAGGGTAACAAATCAAATGACACAAGTAAACAACTAGGAAAACTTGGGAAGTGGGTCACTGTGCAGAAAAACTGGTGGTCTATTTAACAAGTCAACATCACGAGAATAAAAGGTGTTGGAAGAGGCTTAAAGAACATAATATGCAAGGATCTAGATTGAGTCTTTGGTTAGATGAACCATCTACAAAAGACATTTCTGGAACAAATGGAGAAATTTGCGTATGCCTTGGACATTAGATAAAATTTTATTGACATGGAGAGATGGCAATTATTAACAAACAAACAAAGCAGATTACAAACAGCACATACAGCATGACTATATTTTGGCGTGCGCGCACAAACACACACACAAAACAATCTAGAAGGACATTTGGTGCTTTCATGTTTTTAATTATCTGTTTTCTAAATTTCTATTTTATATATATATATAAAATAATATGTATTACACATTATATAATATATGTGTAAAAATAATATATATATAAAATAATATGTATTACACATATATACTGCTTTAAATATAATAAATGGTTATTTACAATAAAAAAATAAGGATTTCTATTCTACAATAGATGCTACAGACAGGTGGCATTCTAAGAGAAAATACTGGCAACATCTAAAACTGACTACAAATTATTATCTGAACAGGCTTCCTCAACTGGGGTTCTCCTGAATCTCAAAAACCCAGCAAATAACTTGAATAACTATTTTCTCAACTCTCCTGAGTATGATCGGTAAATAGTACTGTTCCAGATACATAGGAGAAAAGTAAATTTATTATGTACAATACATGCCTTAGGGTAATAGGGCTTAATTCTCCCTAGGAATTAAAATAAAATATGCAAGGATCTGTAAAGCAACAAGAAAGAGATAAAAAAAAAAAATCAGTAGAAAATTTGGTAAAGAATATGAGTAGGAAATTCACAGAAGGGGAAACCAAAAAAAGCTATTATATGAAAAGATGCTCAATCTCATTAGTAATCAGAGGCATGCAAATTAAAATGAGATCACTCTATACCAATCCAACTGGCAAAATTAGAACACTGGATGATGCTATGTATTGTCAAGGATATGCAGAAATGGGATCCCTGATAATCAAGAATATAAAGCGCCACTACAGCCATCCAGGAGAGTAATCTAATGATATTGCTGAAGTTCATTTGTATGTGTCCTGTGACCTAGCAATTCCACTTCCAGTTACAATCATGATAAATCCTGGCCCAAGACTCACAAGGGCACATGTATGAGGATGCTCACAGTGGCACCATCTGTGGGAGCAGAAAGTGGGAGGCAATCTAGGTTTCCAATCTCAGGGGAATGCATAAATAAAATATGGTGAATGCATACCATAGATTCCTGTGCAGCAGTTAGAAGCAAAGAACTAAATGTACATAGAGCAGCATGAATAGATCTTGAAAAAAGTGCTGAATTAAGAAACAACACACAATCCATAGCTCAATGCCATTTATGGAAATTTAAAACACATATAAAACAATGCTTTAGCTTTTCAAGGGTACAAATATAATCCAAGCATATGTATGAAAACATACATACATGGAGGGTTATCTGTGGGGAAACTGGAAGTAGGCAAGGGATTGGGAATGAAGGAAAAAAACAAAAAGAAAAGATTTCCATAGACCAATGAAGATTAAGTGCCACACGCTGAGGAATATGATGAACTCGGTATTCTGTACCTAAATCTTAAAGAAACAAAAACCTTCAAACAAACAAGTAAAACCTAGCCATGAGGGGTGGGGATGGCAATGGTCTCAGGAAAACCTGAAAAGGAGACAGCTGGAGCATAGAAGAAAGCTGGGAGTCAGATAACCTGGGAATAAATGTGAGCTCTGCTGCTTTTTGACCTTGGATAAATTCTTAAATTCTCTCATGGTATTTTTTTTTTTTAATGTCACACAGGGGTTACAAGATGTACATACAAGAAGATAGAATCGGACTTGACACACACAATGATTCTGTGGGTGTGGATAACATTAGATAAACATTAGATTCAGGAGTGGGTGTGAGATAACATTAGATAGATGTAAAACTATAGAGCAGACATGCACTTCCAAGATCATAGTTGACACTTTTTAATGTATACAGGACATCAAAAAAGAAACTCTTATAATCTATTAATATTGTATCATAAAAGAAAGGACATTTTTAACATTGTAAAAATAAGACAAAATAAAAGGCTTTATGTAAAACTCACTGCATTGTATTTTTCTCATTTCCTTATCTTTTGGAACATGAGGACTGAATGCCAGTGGGAGGAATTGACTCACTCAAGGTCACTCAGTCAGCTATGGTGGCAGTGACACTTTACCCACATATCCCGGCTATGCTTTCCAAGCTCTCCTCCTCAGAATCCTAAGAGATGCACAGAAGAGAAGTCCCGCAGGGGCTCTGGAACCCCCAACCCTGTTTTATCTGGAGCAGCTCTGCTTCTAACAGATTTCATTGCAAAAAAAATTTTTTAAGGTTGAGAAGGAGGTGGGTGCTGCCTCCCAGGATAGAACCAGATCACAGAGGTCATTATATTCCACAATAGATGCAAATTTAAATTGATTTTTTTTTTCCTAGTGGAACAAAGGAGTTGTGATTTCTGAGCAAGGGAGAGAATAGACTGGGGTTGTATTTAAGGATAATTACTGAGGTGGTAGTGTAACAGCTGGATTGGATGGGTAGTAACAACAAGATGCAGAAAGAACAGTCATTTAACCATATAAAAGTCTTGGCGTGAGGGTAGAGGACAGTACTACCAAATTCTCTGGAGTCAATGGCTAGTCAAAGCCAGGCCAGAGGCAGCCTCCCCAAGCAGAACCCTATATTTCCTTTTTTTTTTTTAATATCCTAATATTTAACTACTCAGGCAGCTCTCACAGGGACATGGGCATAGGGGCAGGACTCAGGAGGTGAGGGAGGGACCCTCACCTGCAGTGCCAGCTGGCAATCCTCAATCAGGCCCTGTACAAGGTAGTAGCGTGCTTCGCCTAGTAGCTCTCCCAGTTCTCTGGTACTCTCAGGCAGTGGCACAGACCCGTCCCGCAGGTAGTTGAGGATTGTGCCAAAGTGGCGGCCACTCCGGTCAATCAGCACCCAACCTGGTGGGGTGAAGAGAAGAAGGAGAAAGAATAGCTTTGCTGGGGGCCCTGGAGCTACAAAATTTTTATGAAGAAAGGATTACAAAGCTACAAGTCTGAGAACTGACCTTTCACAAACCTTTGCCTTATCCAAGAAAATCCCATTAAAACATGTCCAGTGGATATTCCCATAGGCCCCTTTTTAATGTACCCAGCCAATGAGAATCAATTCCCTAAGTCTGTTCTACACTGAGAAGGTTCCCACCATGAGGAAGTTCCTACAGATTAGATAATCAATAAACCTCTAAGCTCTTGTTAATTCTAACCATCCTATTTAATTAAAATGTCTACCTCATCTTCCAGTTCACTACCATTTTATCTTTACATTCTTCATAGAACTTATTACTATCTGAAATTACATGTCTTTTTTTTTTTTGGTAGGTTTACTTGCTTATTATTCTCCCCAACCCCGCGAAAAAGTAAACTCCGTAAGGCTAATCTTATCATTTTGATTTACAAACTATCTCCAGTGCTAAAGTATCTGGTAATTTACAAATACTTATTGAAAAAATTCTTCACCTTTAGATATTTGAAGACTCTGCTCTACCTCCCATAACCCTTGTTAACCCACTCTGAACCCCCTCCCCCAAACTTTAAGGTTCCACTTGGGAATGTGGGGCCCTAACCTGAATGGAACACTCCAAGAAGGTAAGGTTCTCCAGCCAAAGAGAATTGTCCATTCTCCACTCTGGTGTCCCTAGCTAACCCGAAGCAGCTTTCACCTTCTACAATCTGCATTTACAGATGGATTCCTAGAGTGTGTTAGGGGAAACACAGAGACAGGCAAGACCCTCCAACTCTCCAGGCTGGTTGTTAGCAGCGCTGAGGTGGAGAGGAACAAAGGGCTGGAAAGTTGGAAGAAACTGAGGAAGGCTGCCTGGAAGGGTGCTGCTGGCAGCAAGGCTGGTTCCTAAGTTTTTTGAGGTGAGGAGTGAAGGGTGGGAGAACTGGATGGAAGCGGTAATGAAACTTCTGAGGTGACAATGGCGAATCGCTACAGCTCCTGGCAGAGTTGGAGAGGGGGGCTGTTCCATAAGTGTTGTTAATTGCTCGGAGTAAAGACTGGGAGAGGAGGGAGATTATGAATGAGAAAGGGGAGATTAGATGGGATGTAGGGGCTGGAGAAGGTGAGAATGAATTGACTGGATGATAGTGAAACGAGAGAAGGGGTATGAAGACGCTGGGTGATGGAGGATACTAGGGATAAGGGAGACGGCAATCCGAAGGATGGAGGACAGCCCAAGTAAGGGCAGCGCGCGTACCTCCGGCGTCCGTGAGCACCTCTGCGCGGCCGCTGAACATGGCCTTGAGCATGGTGTCCTGTCCCGTAAGGGTGCGCAGCGTAGTGTAGTGCAGCGAGCCACCTACGTTAAGTTTCACGTACTTGCTGTTGGGGGTCAGTGGTCTGAGACCGTAGGCGGCGGAGCCAGGCTCGAGTCCCGAAGGCTTAGGGACTTCCAGGGACAGGGCCTCGGCCGCCGCCGGGCCCGAGGCCTCTGCCGACATGCCAGGTGGTTAAGGCGGCGGCCGCGACCTTAAGTTCTCTCCGCGCCCTCCAGACGCTCCCAAAGACCCCGGGACCCACTCGCCCACACGTCGCTGCTACACAGCGACACCGACCAACAGCGCCATCGCGCCGGCACCTCCCGGAAGCCGGGCCCAGCAGAGCGCAGGCGCGCCGAAGAACCGCCCCCGACTTCTCGAGGCCCGGAGTGCGGAGCATGCGCAGTGGCCTCGGCTGGGTGACAGGTCGCGCGCGGACTGCGGCGGTGATGACGCTGCGCGAGGAGCGCTCCTGTCGTTAGTACCGGCGATTTGGAAAGCGACGTCCCCGCGCAGTGGTTGAGTTTCCGTTCTCAGAGCGCTTCCCGGAAAGCTGAGGCCCGGAGAAGCAGGAGGGATAGGGCAAGGCTTACCGCCTGCCTACCCTCAGCGCTGCAAACAGCACGAAGGCAAGCTCTTAAAGAAGGCTATTGAACAAAAATGCAGCTGAGTAGATTTAAACATTGAATTGGCTTTATTCAGCCATTTGTGAATCAGGCAGCTTCCTATCTAGAAAATAGGCGCTCCTCAAGCTGGAGAAAAGGAAAGGTATTTTAAAGGCAGAAAGGGGACGGGAAAAAAGGGGCATTATTAGCAAAGAATGTGTTATCTCAGGCAAGGTCACCCTCCCAAGGGGACCCAAAGGGATCTGTGGGGCAGGTTATCTCACTAGAGCTGACCAGGTCGTTCCATGTTGACAGGTTAAAGGTTACGCCCCTGCAAGAGGTTGAGACTGCAATCAGGTTAGTTATTAAGTCTTGGTTTGTTGATGTGGGGCTTAGCACAAGTGACTCCATTTTGGGCCTGTTGTTTCTTTTTAACAACGCCAAAGGGGAGTGGCCTCCCAGGGGAAGTGGCCATAATGCTAGGGCATGCAGGGTAAGTAAGATAGTTATAGAGGGTCTCTCTGAGGAGATAATACTGAGCTGAATCTGAGAAGCAGCAGCCACGTGGAGGTGTGAGGGCAGAGGTACAGGCAGAGGGAAGAGCAAATACAAAGACCAGAAGATATGAACAGGCGTGTATTTAAAGAGCAGAAAGGATGTCAGGGGTGGCTGGAGTAGCTGAGTAAAGGTCTTAGAATCCCAGCTAATGTCGTGAGACGCCCAATCCAGAAAGATAGAATAAATAAGATAGAAACATTGTTGACAAGAGAGTGTGGTGAAAAGTGTGATATAACAGCTGATCTTAATGTCTGGCAGGGGGATTTGCTTTAGGGAAAACTAAACACAGAGAATTGTAGAACTGTGGGGAAGAGGTGGTGTTTGCTCATTTTGCAGTTTGGACAATGTATTCAGATATGATTATGGAATAGGCTTTCTCTTTAGAAAGTCACTTTGTGTGATGTTGGTGTTCTGTGAAACTAGATGCTCAACAGGGCAACAGTGCTACCAGTTCACTGGGTGATCCTGGGCAAGTTACTTCTCTCTGGGCTTGCACGGTTCTTTTTTACTGCTTAGTGAGGGGTGCCAATTTAAATGCCTGCAGGGGGCAGGTAGGACTGTAAATGAATGGGGTGGACCAGTTATAAGGTATTGGAAATAACAGGGCCTGTGGTGACTTGTGGAGAGTTCATATTCTATCAAAGGGGTTGCCAATTTTGATTTTTCGAGTGTAGTTGGTAAAAAAGAGAAAAGCAGCTAATGGCAACTGGGAGTTGTTTTGCCCTCTCCCTCCAGAAACCTTGGTGTTGCTAGGGGCCCACCTGGTGTTATCTAGGCTGCAGTGTTGTCCTGTTGAGCATAAACAGTTTCACAGAACATCAACATCACACAAAGACACTCTAATGGATTGATAGAAAGACCATTTCATAACCATGTCTGAACACATTGTCTAAACCACAAAAATGACCAAACACAAGCCCCTCCCCACAATATGAATGACTGCTGTGTCTACAAAGTACAGCTTTAGCCTTGATCCATTCCTCTGAACTTCTAGATAAGAATTATTAAGATAACTAAAAAGAATTATCTCTACTTCCTGACAACATACAACCTAGAGAAAATCTCCCTTTTCTCAAACCCTCCTAGAAAATCACCTAACAAGCCCAAATTCTGCAGTAAGTCCTTTCTAACATGTGCTTGCTGAGATGCCCAAGATGGGTTCCCCGTGGAGTGTGGTCTACCGTGTTCAACTACAGTTGTGTTCCTGGCGGTCTTTGTCTGAAGGGCATTGTCATAAATGGAGGATCCATGGAGATCAACTAAAGCCCTCACTACCATGGACTGGGACTCTCAACTCTAGTAATAATGTGCACCTCTGAGACCCCTTATCTCTAACCGAGGTGCCATCCTGCCCATAGTTGGGAGAAAAGTTCTCATTAAAGAGTCGTGATGTTTTGCCGAGAACCTTAAGCATTGAGATTACTTTGTTTTCTTTGGAATAAGATTCTCCTGGATTTTTCTCAATGAGATTTTTAATTTTCCTTGTTTAAATTGTTTTCTGGCCTTCATACCTGCTCTTATGGTCTGTTCTCTTGTCTTGTGTTTTAAATATTGTTTGTCTGCAAGAGGAAAAGTATAGGGAAAGGATGGGTGTGCAGCCTTGGATGTATAAGGACATCACAAACCTGTTACTGCTCAATCTCTGCTGGCTGAACACAATTTGTCTCTCTAAATTTAAAGTTGAGGATACCAAGTGCTTGGCAGTCATGTAACTAGTTAGCATGCTGGAGACTTTTTGTTATCAGAATTAACCAGGCAAATTGCTGCATCAACCGAGTTCCAATAAATCTGTCCTACAACCATCCCCAAAGACTGTGGAATTCAGAAGATATCTCAGACTTTATCCAAAATTTGTCCTTTGGATAAACTTTGCCTTGGGTAACCATTTCAAACCTTTATAAGGACTTCTTCCTGAGTTTTGTCTATATCCTTGAGAACTAGTTTATTTCATTTCTTCTGCCCAGAACAAGGACATTTTTTCGGCCTCTGATCAATGACAATTGGCCTTTGACCAACTTCTGGAAATACAAGGTTACATGGCACCGTCAATATGGATACTCGTGCCAACTAAAACTGAACCAAATACCTGCTTCCTTCATTTTTTATCATGTTCCTCTAACTCGTACTCTTATTTTCCTAACTGACACAATTTCATTAAGGGCAATTTAGAATTGCAGTGGTTGTTTTGGGGAAGTTTTGACAGATACAAGATTGTTTATTTGAGAGGTACCTCAGAACAAAAGGAGAAGAAACCCTCACAAGGAGATTGTTGTTTGTCAAAAAGGTTATTTTGTGGACGGAAAAAAAATGGTGTAGATGATAGAGGCTCTGTTTATCCCTCTGGCGAACAAAGCAAAGCTGTGACAGAAACAAGGAGCAAACAGCAAGGAAAAATCGCCTGCATCTAGATGAACAAGCCATAAAACTACAGAGAAATCTAAAAATCACCCTGCAATGGCAGAAGGTAAGATGGGGCAAGGACGCAAGGCTGCCTTGTCCCAAGCAGCTGAGTGGCATTGAGGCAGCGGCAGTGGCAGACGCCTCTTAAAGGGGCCACGTCCACGAGCGGACTTTCGCGGTAATGGACCTGCTCACTCTGAGCACCAGTGCCAATTCAGCTGCATGCAGGGGGCACCAGAGACTTACAGGAAGATATTGTCGGAGTGAGGGTTTAAGCAAGACTCGCTCTGTACAGAAGTGCCGGTGGTATCCATTGTTCCTCTGTTGAGCCCTCCCCACTCCCAGTGTGCAGACTCAGTGCCACCATAGCGGAGATGCCATCAAACTGGATAACAGAGGTCATTCTGTGCAGAGGATTCCCTGAAACTCCACCTCCCTCAACTCATGGCCCCACCCAAGCCACATTCAGGTGTGTCCTTTCTTAGTCAGGCGCTTCTGGATGAGCAGCCCCTAGACTCATACTTGGTGGCAGCTGGTCTCAGTTTCTGGTATGGCCTTTTGAGGCAACTATAAGCACAGCATCTGTAGATTGTTGGCTGAATCTTAATAGGTGGCCCCAGAGGGGCGCAGGCTGAGACTAAACTTGACCTGCAACTGAACCCCTCTCAGGACTGTGCCACTGGACACCTACTACACAAAGCCACACTAACAAGATTGGGAGACTTAGGAGCTTTGCTTAGTACATAGAAACAGACACAGAAAGGCAGCCAAAATGGGAAAACAAAGAAGCAGAAACCATATGAGAGAATAGAACAGAGATCTGGAAATAATGGAGTTAAGCAATCTAACAGATACAGAGTTCAAAACGCTGGTTATAAAGATGCTCAATGAACTTATGGGAAGTGTGGATGAATTCAGTGAGAATTTCAACAAAGAGATAAAAAAAACATAAAAATGGAAATGGAAGTTATAAAAGGGAACCAGTCAGAAATGAAGAACACATTATCTGAGATGAGAAGTATATTAAATGGAATAAACAAAGTGAATAAAGAGGAGGATCAAATAACCTATATAGAGGATGGAAAAGCCAAGGACACTCATCAGAATGGCAAGAAAAAAGAAGCCAAGACTATAAGCCAAGACCCATAAGACTGGCAGCAGATTTCTCAAAGGAAACTATAGGACAAAAAGGCTTGGCACAAAATATTCAACATGATGAAGACACGGGATCTACAACCAAGAATACTTTATCCAGCAAAGCTATCTTTTAGAGTTAAAGGACAGATAAAGAGCTTCCCAGACAAAAATAAGCTAAAAGAATTTATCATCACCACACCAGTATCACAGGAAATGTTGGAAGGACTTCTTTAAGAAGAAACAACATGTATCAAAAACAGGAATAAAGAATGGTAATAACTACATTCCTATCAACGAGTACCTCAAATGGAAAAGAATTAAGTGCTCCAACCAAAAGATAGAGTGGCTGAATGGATAAAAAAAAAAGACTCCTACA